TGTCGGAATGGGGGTGGGGCCGGCCAGCTGGGCCAGCTCATCCCTGACCCCTCCTCCCAGCCCGTCCGAGTATTGCGGAATCTCCAGGCGGGTGCCAGGTGATGATGGGAAGCGTGTCCCCAAGCAGCTCACAGCCCGGGGAGCTGGGTGAAAAGGGAGGTGTGCAAAGTTCACTCCCAAAACTCCCTGTCCCCGGCTCCACCCCACAGAGCCTTTTCACCCGGTTCTGGGCATGTCGCAAGGGCTGGGTCTTCAGTTCCTGTCCTTTTTTCTTTTTCTTTTTTTAAATACGTTTTTATTGGTTTCAGAGAGAGGGAGAGAGACATAGAAACATCATCATTGATCGGCTGCCTCCTGCACGCCCCCTACTGGGGATGGAGCCCACAACCCGGGCATGTGCCCTGACCGGGAATCAAACTGGGACCTCCTGGTTCATAGGTTGATGTGAGCAACCACTGAGCGACACTGGCCGGGCCAGTTTCTGTCCTTTTTGTCTACCCCTGACTCCTCCTCCAGGAACAAGGTCTGAAGTGGCTTAAGGGTAAGGATGTGGGTGGGGGAGGGAGGGAGATAAGTGGCCTGGACAGATCTGGGCAGTCCAGGCGAGTCCCTTCTGCCCTGGCGTTTTTCCAACCACAGCCTCTTACAGTGCAAGCTGAGGGCCATTTGCTACGACTCTCGCATCTGATTAGGGATTTTTAAAAAATACATTTTTTTAAATATATTTCAGAGAGGCAGGGAGAGGGAGAGAGAGAGATAGAAACATCAATGATGAGAGAGAATCACGGATCGGCTGCCTCCTGCACGCTCCCCACTGAGGATCGAGCCTGCAACCTGGGCCTGTGCCCTGACCGGGAATCGAACCGTAACCTCCTGGTTCAAAGGTCGACACTCAACCACTGAGCCACGCCGGCCGACAGGGATTTTTTTTTGTTTTTCTCAGATTCTTGAAGTAAACAGACCTGTGCAGTGGGTTGTGCACGAATGAGGACATGAGTGGGGTCAAAGCCTCGTTTGCGCGAGGCTTTGCAGGAGGCCAGGGCCCCTCCCTCCACAGGCCAACAGGGATTTTTTTTTTTGTTATTCTCAGATTCTTGAAGTCAACAGACCCAGGCAGTGGGTTCTATGGCATCAGTGGGTTGTGCACGAATGAGGACATGAGTGGGGTTCGTGCGAGGCTTTGCAGGAGGCCAGGGCCCCTCCCTCCACATGGGGCTGTGTCTCTTTCCCACGTTCCCAAGCAGCCTGGGTTTCCACGGGATGGGAACGGTGACACCCGTTCACAGGCAGGGATAACCGATTTCAAGAACGCTGCACCGCGATGAGGAGGCAGCCCATGGGGACATGGGCTCCCTGTGGTCACATCCCAGTGTCGCCCCTTACTGGTACCTTTGGAAAACTCGATGTGCTTCCCTCGTTTTCTTCATCTGAAAGAATGTGGATACTGCCCCGCCGGCTGGCGTGGCTCCGTGGTTGAGTATTGACCCATGAACCTGGAGGTCATGGTCACGGTTGGATTCCCGGTCAGGGCACATGCCTTGATTGCGGGCTCGATCCCCAGTGTGGGGCGTGCAGGAGGCAGCCGATTGATGATTCTCTGTCATCATGGATGTTTCTATCTCTCTCTCCCTCTCCCTTCCTCTCTGAAATGAATAAAAATATTTAAAAAAAATAAATAATGACGGATGTCCAACGGCTCTTTGCAGAACACAGAGCAGGCACCTAGGGGAGCCTGAGACCCTTAGTGTCCAGGGGGCGGGGACTGGAGGATGCCAGCATCGAGCTGTGCCCCTTCCACAGGACTCTGCCCAGGGAATAGGTGCTGATTCCCACCATCAGTTGCATGGTTTCGATCCGGTGGCACTTGGCTTCGCGTGGGCCCCTGTGACCGCATCCTCCGAGTGGGCGCTCCGCCTCCCCCTGTGGAAAGGGGGCTCCTTTGAACTCTGCTTTGTTTCGACAGGTCACTACGAATGGCCTCATTGCCACGAGCGAACCCCCGGCCGCAGAATCCCACCCCGGGCTCTTCCCGCCGACCTTCGGGGCCGTGGCGCCCTTCCTGGCCGACTTGGACACCACCGACGGCCTCGGGAAGGTCTACTACCGCGAGGACTCCTCCCCCACCGTCACCCAGCTGGCCGCCGAGTGTGTCCAGAGAGGGTTCCCGGGAGTGTCCTTCCAGCCCGCGAGCGCCGTGGTGGTCACCTGGGAATCCGTGGCCCCGTACCGAGGCCCCAGCGAGGACCCTGCCCAGGAGGACAAGGTGAGTGCTCACCCAGGGACCAGGGCGTGGAGCCTAGCAGGGGGGCGTGGCCTGGCTTGTGCGACTCAGAGGTACGGCGTGTTGCGTCACTGATGAAGAAAGGACTTCCGAGGCAACATCGGGTCATGGTGGGCTGATACCTCCAGCTCCGTATCTGCAAGGCTCGCAGTCTCTGTCTCAGGGGTGACTGGGTTGAAGAAAGCCAGTTCCAGCCCTAACCGGTTTGGCTCAGTGGATAGAGCGTCGGCCTGCGGACTGAAGGGTCCCAGGTTCGATTCCGGTCAAGGGCATGTACCTTGGTTGCGGGCACATCCCCAGTAGGGGGCGTGCAGGAGGCAGCTGATCTATGTTTCTAACTCTCTATCCCTCCCCTTCCTTTCTGTAAAAAGCCAATAAAATATATTTTTTTAAAAAAAGAAGGAAAGCCAGTTCCTGAGAAACTGCTCAGTGGCAAGAATAAGGTTGATGACTCCCATCCCTCTGACGCTGGGTCAGAGGGTTGGAGGTGGTTTCTGGTTAAATAGAGACTTCATTATTTTTTTAAAAAATTTATTTCAGAGAGGAAGGGAGAGGGAGAGAGAGTGAGAAACATCGATGATGAGAGAGAATCATGGATCGGCCGCCTCCTGCACGTCCCCTGTAGGGGATCGATTCGCCCCGACCAGGAATCAAACCGTGACCTCCTGGTTCAGAGGTCGCTGCTCAACCACTGAGCCTCGTCGGCCGGGCGAGACATTATTAATGCGAAGTGAAGGTTACAATCACCAGGTAGTCCTCAAGGGTGTGAAGAAGTAAAGAGAAAGCCCACAGTCTAGCTGGGGAGACAGAAACCACGGGCTCCATGGGAATGTTTCAGACAGGAGTCCCGCCATGTCCAGTGGGCATCTTTGGTGAAGAAGTAGGTGGAGAAGCCTCCTCCAGGTCTGAGTTACCCTTTGGGGACCTGCCTCGGTCTCTCGGCCCCACCATCGTTTAATTTTCATAGGATTACACAGTGGGGAGAAACTTGAAAGGCCCAAAAGCATCCATTCCCACGTGGGTGGAGATACAGCCACCTCCTTCCTAGGAACGGTGGGAGGGCTACATGGTGAGGTAACATACGAAGGGCCCGGCATCGGGAACGCAGTCCTTACACGAAGGCCCTTTCCGACGGGCCAGCCTCAGAGGCGTGGAAGTGGCGCTTTCCTGGAAATACCTAAAAGCGCCGCTTCTAGAATAAGTTGGGGGGACACCGCCATCTTCCCACGTGGGGCGTCTGGTCTGCTGCAGGGCCCCTGGGAAGATGTGGCCACTTGCCTGAGTGACTGACTGCCTTTTGACTCGTCTTCGCAGAGAAACACGTTCCAGGCGGTCCTGGCCTCCTCCGGTTCCAGCTCCTACGCCATCTTCCTGTACCCCGAAGACGGCCTGCAGTTCACCTCGACCTTCTCCAAGCGGGACCAGAGCCAGGTCCCCGCCATGGTCGCCTTCAGCCAAGGGCTGGTGGGACTCGTGTTGAGCAGCGACGGGGCGTATAACATATTTGCTAACGACAGAGACTCGATCGGCAATTTGGCCAAGTAAGCGTCTGCCTTCGTTCTTCCGTAGACGCCCCCTGAGAATAAGCATAGCCCGTGATTATCTTTTTTTTTTATAATCTATTTTATTGATTTTTTACAGAGAGGAAGGGAGAGGGATAGAGAGTTAGAAACATCAGTGAGAGAGAAGCATCGATCAGCTGCCTCCTGCACACCCCCTACTGGGGATGTGCCTGCAACCAAGGTACATGCTACATGCCCTTGACTGGAATCGAACCTGGGACCCTTGAGTCCGCAGGCCGATGCTCTATCCACTGAGCCAAACTGGCTAGGGCCCATGATTATCTTATTAAGGATGATGTAATGGGCATCACAGAACATTCGCTAAAAAATTCCCTTGGGTTGCAATGTTGGATATAGTTTTTCTATTATGTGGTACTTTTTATTTTTGTTTGTTTTTTTGTTTGTTTTATTTTTTTTTAATTTTGTTTTATTGCTTAAAGTATTACAAAGAGCAGTACATATGTCTCCTTTTTTTTTTTCCCCCTTGACATTCCCCTGGCCTCCCCTACCCCCCAGTGTCTTGTGTCCATTGGTTCTGGGGATGTGCCTGCAACCAAGGTACATGCTACATGCCCTTGACTGGAATCGAACCTGGGACCTTTCAGTCCCCAGGACGATGCTCTATCTACTGAGCCAAACCGGCTAGGGCCCGTGATTATCTTATTAAGGATGCTGTAATGGGCATCACAGAACATTCCCTAAAAAATTCCCTTGGGTTGCAATGTTGGATATAGTTTTTCTATTATGTGGTACTTTTTATTTTTGTTTGTTTTTTTGTTTGTTTTATTTTTTTTTAATTTTGTTTTATTGCTTAAAGTATTACAAAGAGCAGTACATATGTCTCCTTTTTTTTTTTCCCCCTTGACATTCCCCTGGCCTCCCCTACCCCCCAGTGTCTTGTGTCCATTGGTTATGCTTATATGCATGCATACAAGTCCTTTGGTTGATCTCTTACCCATCCCCCCGACCCTCCCCGACCTTCCCGCTGTAGTTTGACAGTCTGTTCGATGCTGCTCTGCCTCTGTATCTATTTTTGTTCATCAGTTTATAATGGTCTTTATTATCCATAAATGAGTGAGATCATGTGGTATTTTTCTTTCATTGACTGGCTTATTTCACTTAGCATAATGCTCTCCAGTTCCATCCATGCTGTTGCAAATGGTAAGAGTTCCTTCTTTTTTACAGCAGCATAGTATTCCATCGTGTAGATGTACCACAGTTTTCTAATCCATTCATCTACTGATGGGCACTTAGGCTGTTTCCAAATCTTAGCTATGGTGAATTGTGCTGCTATGAACATAGGGGTGCATATATCCTTTCTGATTGGTGTTTCTGGTTTCTTGGGATATATTCCTAGAAGTGGGATCACAGGGTCAAATGGGAGTTCCATGTTTTGTTTTTTGAGGAAACTCCATACTGTCTTCCATAGTGGCTGCACCAGTCTGCATTCCCACCAGCAGTGCACAAGTGTTCCTTTTTCTCCACATCCTCTCCAGCACTTGTCATTTGTTGATTTGTTGATGATAGCCATTCTGACAGGTGTGAAATGGTACCTCATTGTTGTTTTGATTTGCATCTCTCAGATGATTAGCGACTTTGAGCATGTTTTCATATGTCTCTTGGCTTTCTGAATGTCCTCTTTTGAAAGGTGTCTATTTAGGTCCTTTGCCCATTTTTTGATTGGATTGTTTATCTTCCTTTTGTTAAGTTGTATGAGTTCCCTATAAATTTTGGAGATTAGGCCCTTATCAGATATGACATTGGCAAATATGTTTTCCCACGCAGTGGGTTTTCTTGTTGTTTTGTTGATGGTTTCTTTTGCTGTGCAGAAGCTTTTTATTTTGATGTAGTCCCATTTGTTCATTTTCTCTTTAGTTTCAACTGCCCTAGGAGCTGTATCAGTGAAGAAATTGCTTCGGCATATGTCTGAGATTTTGTTGCCTTTGGATTCTTCTAGAATTTTTATGGTTTCCTGTCGTACATTTAAGTCCTTTATCCATTTTGAGTTTATTCTTGTGTATGGTGTAAGTTGGTGGTCTAGTTTCATTTTCTTGCATATATCTGTCCAATTTTCCCAACACCACTTATTGAAGAGACTATCTTGGCTCCATTGTATGTTCTTGCCTCCTTTGTCAAATATTAATTGAGCATATTGGTTCGGGCTAATTTCTGGACTCTCTATTCTATTCCACTGATCTATATGTCTGTTCTTGTGCCAGTACCAGGCAGTTTTGAGAACAGTGGCTTTGTAATACAGCTTGATATCTGGCATTGAGATCCCACCTACTTTGTTCTTTCTCAGGATCGCTGCAGCTATTCGGGGTCTTTTTTTATTCCAGATGAATTTTTGGAGAGTTCGTTCTAGATCTTTGAAGTAGGCCATTGGTATTTTAATGGGAAGTGCGTTGAATTTATAGATTGCTTTGGGTAGTATGGACATTTTAATGATGTTGATTCTACCAATCCAAGAACATGGTATGTTCTTCCATCTCTTTATGTCTTCCTCTATCTCTTTTTTCAACGTCCTGTAGTTTTCTGAGTAGAGGTCTTTTACCTCTTTAGTTAAGTTTATTCCTAGGTAGCTTAATTTTTTTGGTGCGATGGTAAATGGGATTGTTTTTATAATCTCTCTTTCTGAAAGTTCACTATTGGTGTATAGAAATGCCTCAGATTTCTTGGGGTTAATTTTGTATCCTGCTACATTGCCAAATTCATGTATTAAGTCTAGTAGCTTTTTGATGGAGTCTCTAGGGTTTTGTATGTATAATATCATGTCATCTGCAAATAAGGACAGTTTTACTTCCTCTTTTCCAATTTGGATGCCTTTTATTTCTTCTTCTTGTCTAATTGCAATGGCTAATACTTCCAGGACTATGTTGAAGAGGAGTGGCGAGAGTGGGCATCCCTGTCTTGTTCCTGTTCTTAGGGGAAATGGTGTTAGTTTTTGTCCATTGAGTATGATGTTGGCTGTGGGCCTGTCATATATGGCTTTTATTATGTTGAGGTATGATCCTTCTATTCCCACCTTGCTGAGAGTTTTTATCAAAAATGGGTGTTGGATTTTGTCGAATGCTTTTTCTGCATCAATTGATATGACCATGTGGTTTTTTTCTTTCAATTTGTTTATGTGATGTATTACGTTTATTGATTTACGGATGTTGTACCATCCTTGCATCCCTGGGATAAATCCTACTTGGTCATGGTGTATGATCCTTCTGATGTACTGTTGGATCCGATTTGCTAAGATTTTGTTGAGGATTTTGGCATCTATGTTCATGAGGGATATTGGCCTGTAATTCTCTTTCATTGTGTTGTCTTTACCTGGTTTTGGTATTAGGGTGATGCTGGCTTCATAGAATGAGCTTGGATTCCTCTCTGTAAAAAAAATCAATAAAATATATTAAAAAAATAAAATAAAATAAAATAAAAAAATGAAAAGTTTGAGGACCCCTGCTCTACTGTTTCTGTTACAAAGTTATCCATTCCACATAGTCACTCACTTTAAAAAATATATAGATTTTTTTATTGATTTCAGAGAGGATGGGAGAGGAAGAGAGAGATAGAAACCTCAATGATAAGAGAGAATCATTGGGGAAAAAAAAGAGAGAGAGAGAGAATCATTGATCGGCTGCCTCCTGCAACGCTCCCTACTGGGCTTTGAGCCTGCAACCTGGGCATGTGCCCTGCCGGGGAATCGAACCGGGACCTCTTGGTTCATGGGCCGATGCTCAACCACTGAAGCCGGAGAATCGAACCGGGACCTCTTGGCTCATGGGCCGATGCTCAACCACTGAGCCACACTGGCTGGGCCTGGGCCTCGCTTGTATTTCTTCTTACTCGTTCTGATTTGTCTCCTGACGATAGCCACACATGTTTGTTCTTCTTGAGTCTTCCGAAGCCTGGACGAGAGCTGGGGGCCAGGGTCAGTGAGCTCATTACTTTCTTCCAAGGCTCGGAAGTGGAGACATTGACCTTGCGTGTCCGGACCAGGCCGCGGGTCCGTGTCTCGGGGCTCCCCACCCCGCACCCTGGCTCTCCTGGGGTGATGCGGACATCCCTGCCTGCGTGGCGCTCCGCTCTTGCAGCTGGCTTCGGGGGGACAGCTCCCCAGATGTGTCGGGTTGTTTACTCGCAGCTGTGGCGATCTGAGCTGTCACCCGATCGAGGCGTCTCTGACATTCTCCTTCGTGGAGCTGTCCTGTTGAAATGCTATCCTATCTGACGCCAACAGCAACATATGGTGGTGCATTGCTCGGTATTAGTCCACGCCTAGGATTTGGGCCCGACTTGCGCCTGAAACAGATGTTTCTCTGTCCCTCTATCTCGGTTATTTCGCTGTTTCTGGCGGGAGGTCAGCCTTCCGCGGCCCGCCGTGCATTCCTGGCGTTATCTGAATAGTCACCCACAGATACGCAGGCCATGGGGACCCACGGGGCGCCGGGCCCTCGGCTGGAGTGAAGCAATCTGCAGTCACGTGTGTTCAGCGTGGGGGCCAAGGGTTTCCGACGCCAAACGCCGCCTCTCCACACACTGGAAATTTCCTCCGAGCGTCTGGGACGCATAGAACCTTCCTGGTTTAAACTTCACTTGTGTCTTCACTCCGAACAGTCGGTTATAAACCGGATCGCTCCCCACTTTAAAAGTCCACCCCCTACATGTGCTTTTGAGCTTTCTTTCCAAATCAGTTTCCTCTGGATTGTGGAGTATAATGAGTCCGTTCCTAATTCTAACAAATTGAACCAAGGAGGTAAAATTTTAAAGGCTTAGGAAGAATTCTTTTTGTTTCTTGAGTGAAAGGAATTGAAGAAGTCTTTCTAATCAGCTTTTTAAAAAATCCTGACCCGAGGATATTTTTTCATTGATTTTTAGAGGAAGTGGGAGAGAGAGGGAAAGACAGAGAGAAACATCAGTGTGAGAGAAACACATCAATTGGTTGCCTCCTGCATGCGCCCTGACCAGGGCCCGGGCCAGGGAGGAGCCTGCAACCGAGGTACGTGCCCTTGACTGGAATCGAACCCAGGACCCTTCAGTCCGCAGGCCAACACGCTATCCACTGAGACAAACCAGCTAGGGCCTAATCAGCTTTTGAGTATAAGAGCTTCTTAGTTATTGCCTGGAGAGAAGAGGCAAAATAATTTCAAAATACTCTGAAGTCATGAAAATGGGAAAATTAAAAAACAGTAAAAAATAAATACCTTAAGACCCCTTTAAAATGTGAAGCTGATCTTTTTGACTCGTCAGAGGGACACCAGATTGAGACAGCTGTCTGATGGGGTGACCTGAGACTGATGCAAATTAAATGAGAGCACTTTAAAAAAATATATTTTTATTGATTTCAGAGAGGAAGGTGGAGGGAGAGAGAGAGAAGCATCAATGATGAGAGAGAATCACTGATCGGCTGCCTCCTGCACGCCCCCCACTGAGGATCGAGCCCGCAACCCGGGAATCCAACCCTGACCTCCTGATTCATAGGTCGACATCCAGCCACAGAGCCATGCCGGCCGGGCAGATTAGAACACTTTTTGATCATTCACCCTGTGATTTCTACACTCCTTGTAGCCCAGTGGTTCTCAACCTTCCTCATGCCGCGACCCTTTAATACAGTTCCTCGTGTTGTGGTGACCCCCAATTTCATTGTTACAAATTGAACATCATTAAAGCATAGTGATGAATCACAAAAACAATATGTAATTATAGATATGTTTACCGATGGTCTTAGGCGACCCCTGTGAAAGGGTTGTTCGACCCCCAAAGGGGTTGCGACCCACAGGTTGAGAACCGCTGTTGCAGCCCCATGTGCGTGGGGTGTGGCAGATGGAGCCACCACACCATTTACGTGGCTCCGGGCGGTGAGTCCGGACCCTGAGCCGCCTGGCCGAGTGCCATTATCCCTGCAGGGCTGGGGGGCCCCCTGTGACCCGCTCCTGCCGCTGAGCCCCGAGACCTGCTCACAGTTGCCCTGTGCTTCCTCCGCAGTCTTCAGCTACAACACGGATTCCCGGCCCACGTGCGCCAACAGCCGACACCAGTGCTCCGTGCACGCCGAGTGCCGGGACTACGCCACCGGCTTCTGCTGCAGCTGCGTCGCCGGCTACACCGGGAACGGCCGGCAGTGCGTGGCCGAAGGTCTGTTTTCTGTGCTCATTCATGGGCCGGGAGGAGGGAGGGCGGCCTAAATATTTTTATTGATTTCAGAGAGGAAGGGAGAGGGAGAGAGAGAGAGAAGCATCCATGATGAGAGAGAATCATGGACCGGCTGCCTCCTGCACGCCCCACACTGGGGATGGAGCTGCAACCCAGGCCTGTGCCGTGACCTCCCCGTTCAGAGGTCGACGCTCAACCCCTGAGCCCCAAACTCCAAATTGGATCCAGCTGTCACTTGTGGACCAGGCAGTCTCTACGGTCGTGAGAGCCCAGACACAGTTTACTCAGCGCGGGTCCCCGGGGAGCCCGGGGCCATAAACGCCAATGAAAACAAAAGCGACAGAAACCCCGCCGTACGGAACATTTGTCCCTTCGGATGCCAGATGACCTCACGTGTCGCTGGCCGTTTTCTTTGTGTTTCGTGAGGAAATGCAGTTGCTTCCCCAGGTTTGACTCAGTAAAGCTTGGAAGCACTTTCCTGTTTTTCAGATCCCCTGCCATCACTGTTTTAATTTGCTAAAAAAACAAACAAACAGCAACGAACAGGAACCGTGTTCCCTTCTGGGTCCTAATTCGATCAAGTGAGGGTTGTTGTACTGACTTTGGCAACGAGAGAGAATTTTTGTGTCCGTGTGTTCATTAGGGGAATGTTTTCAGCATCTGTAAACGTATTTCCTTCCAAATCGCACCGCCCAGGGGTGGTGTGCCTGAGCGTTGTGTGGGGCTTGGCTTGGATACCCTGGGAGAAGCTTCCAGAATCAGCAGCAAAACCTCCTTCTCCAGGCGCGGCCCCGGCGGCCTTTCCCGTGCCAAGCGTCCGAGCTGGGAATGCTGAGTGTGCTTGGCAGAAACTCAGATCGGACGAACCGTCCGGCCCCACGTTTTAACATCATATACACGCCCTGGAGGAGTCTAATGGTTTAATTATTTGTTGGATTCTTGCTACTTTTCTAAAAATTTTATTGATTCCAGAGAGGAAGGGAGAGGGAGAGAGAGAAACATCCATGATGAGAGAGAATCATGGATCGGCTGCCTCCTGCACGCCCCCTCCTAGGGATTGAGCCCGCAACCCAGGCATGTGCCCTGACGGGGAATCGAACCGTGACCTCCTGGTTCCTAGGTCGATGCTCAACCACTGAGCCACACGGGCCGGCCTTGCCTCTTGCGCTACAGGCCCAGGGCCTATCCTGTTCTTCTCTTACGAAGGACTTTGTTTCCCTCGCAGGGTCCCCCCAGCGAGTGAACGGCAAGGTGAAAGGGAGGATCTTTGTGGGGAGCAGCCCGGTCCCCGTCGTGTTTGAGAACACGGACCTGCACTCCTACGTGGTGATGAACCAGGGGCGCTCCTACACGGCCATCAGCACCATCCCCGAGACTGTGGGCTACTCCCTGCTGCCCCTGGCCCCTGTCGGGGGCATCATAGGGTGGATGTTTGCGGTGGAGCAAGACGGATTCAGGCACGGGTTCAGCATCACAGGTATTGGCATGACCCGTTAAAGTCCATGGCCCGGGGGTGGGGGGGTCCAAGGGAGATAGGGACTGGGGATAAGTGGAAAGGACTCCAGGTCTAAAGACAACTCACTGACAAGCTTTTTGTTCTGGGAGAAAGACCTGGTGGTAAGAGGACCGGTATTCTTTCGTGAATAATATTTTCGAATATTCTAAATAATATTTAAAATCCTGCTGGCCCGGCTCACCCATCCTAAAGCTTGGGTATTTCTCATTGTCCCTTCTCATCATGAGTTGAAAATGCCCGTCTTCAGCACAAGCCCTGAGCCAACCCATCTCGGAGGCCGGTCTGTGGCTGGGAGGCAGCCTCTCTCTGCGCGTGACTCCGTGGGGCCCCCTGGGTGCCCCAGCTCTGTCCTCGGGGGTCCCCAGCCCCATTCCTACCAGCACCCCCTGAAGCACCCACAGAGGAGGTGCAACTCCACGGCCCCTGACCAGCCCTGTGAGCCCAGGGCGGGCGCCGGGGTGGCTGTTCCTTCTGATGGCAGAGTGACCGAATGACCTTGCTTTCCAGGGGGCGAGTTCACCCGCCAGGCCGAGGTGACCTTCGTGGGGCACCCGGGCAAGCTGGTCATCAAGCAGCGCTTCAGCGGCATCGATGAACACGGGCACCTGACCATTGACACGGAGCTGGAGGGCCGCGTGCCGCAGATCCCGGTCGGCGCCTCCGTGCACATCGAGCCCTACACGGAGCTCTACCACTACTCCCGCGGCGGTGAGGGCACCCTGGGGCCCGAGGCTCCCAGTGCCACCGGGACAGCCCGCACTACTGCCGTCTCCTGGGCTGCAGAGAGCAAAACGCGGGCGACACCTTAGTAACATCGCCTTTCCCCACTGCCAGACATCATATCACTCCCTCCAGAGAATTTATTATTTCTTATTTATTTACTTTAATTTTTATTCATTTCAGAGAGGAAGGGAGAGGGAGAGAGGGAGAGAAACATCAATGATGAGAGGGAATCATTGATCGGCTGCCTCCTGCACGCCCCACACTGGGGATCGAGCCCACAACCCAGGCATGTGCCCTGACCGGGAATCAAACCGTGACCTTCTGGTTCATAGGTCGACGCTCAACCACTGAGCCACTCCAGCCAGGCGTCCACTAGCCTGTAATCTTTAGGTTGGCTCTGGGCAGCTTAGGAACTTAGAAGCACTTGATGGGGGAAAAAAGCAACAAATATTACTGATGCAAATAATACCCATAACGGTAGGGGAAATCCAGGTAGCAGAAGGAGTCCCCATTGGAAATAAACGGTCTTGCCCTAGCCGGTGTGGCTCAGTGGATAGTGTCTGCCTGTGGACCATAGGGACCCGGGTTCGATTCTGGTCAAGGGCACGTACCTTGGTTGCAGGCTCCTCCCCAGCCCAGGTCCTGTTTGAGGCACGTGCAGGAGGCAACCATTCAATGGATTTCTCTCCCATCGATGTTTCTCTCTGTCTTTCCCTCTCTCTCCCACTCTCTCTAAAAACCATTGGGAAAATATTGGGTGCGGATTAACAACAACAACAACAAGAAATAAATGAGCGATCTCATTGACCGGCTCCATTGCAGTCTCCCCTGGAAGCATGGTGTCTGGGGAGACCTCCGGTGGGATGGGTCTGACCCTGGAGGAGGCCACCGCATCCTCACGCCCTCTCCCTTCTCTCCCCACCCGTGTCCCTCCTGCATGCAGTGATCACATCCTCCTCCACGCGGGAGTACACGGTGACGGGGCCCGCGGCCCCTGCGAGCATCCACACGTACCAGTGGCGCCAGACCATCACCTTCCAGGAGTGCGTCCACGACGGGGCCCGGCCAGCCCCGCCCAGCACCCAGCAGCTCTCGGTGGACAGCGTGTTCGTCCTGTACAACCAGGAGGAGCGGATCCTGCGCTTCGCTCTCAGCAACTCCATCGGGCCTGTGCGGGGTGAGACGCAGCTCCCACCGGCCCTCGTGCGCCTGCGTCTCTGTTCTCTGGGCGTATTCTTTTTAAAAAATATATATATATATATATTTATTGATACGCCCTCGTGCGCCTGCGTCTCTGTGCTCTGGGCGTATTCTTTAAAAAATATATATATTTTTATTGATTTCAGAGAGGAAGGGAGAGGGAGAGAGAGAGAAACATCAATGATGAGAGAGAATCATGGATCAGCTGCCTCCTGCACGCCCCACACTGGGGATCGAGCCCACAACCGGGCATGTGCCCTGACCAGGAATCAAACCGTGACCTTCTGGTTCATAGGTCGACGCTCAACCACTGAGCCACACCAGCCAGGCGTCCACTAGCCTGTAATTTTTCAACTTATTAATTGAATTGAACCATGACCTCCTGGCTCATAGGGTGATGCTCAACCACTGAGCCATGCCGGCCGGGCGTGATTGTTGTCAATTTCCGGCAAAATTGCCTTATGGCCTGTTCTGCTTGGGATCTGATGGGGAAGATGCTTCAACAGAGCATCCGCCAGCTGCTCCCCTGTCCCCGGCCTCCACCCGCCTTCCTCTGTGGGGGGAGCGTTCCGAGGACTCACCTCTCAGTGTCTCTGTCCTCGCAGACGGCTCCCCGGACGCCCTGCAGAACCCCTGCTACATCGGCACTCACGGGTGCGACACCAACGCAGCCTGCCAGCCCGGCGCCGGGAACCAGTTCGCCTGCGAGTGCTCCATCGGCTTCCGGGGGGACGGACGCACCTGCCACGGTACAGCCTCGGCTCTGACGTGGGGGGCGTGGGGGAGGCCACGGGGAGGTGTCCGCAGCCTGTGGTCCAGATGGCTGCTTGGGATCTGATGGGGAAGATGCTTCAACAGACCATCTGCCAGCTGCTCCCCTGTCCCCGGACCACGGCCTCCACCCGCCTTCCTCTGTCGGGGGGGAGCGTTCCGAGGACTCACCTCTCAGTGTCTCTGTCCTCGCAGACGGCTCCCCGGACGCCCTGCAGAACCCCTGCTACATCGGCACTCACGGGTGCGACACCAACGCAGCCTGCCAGCCCGGCGCCGGGAACCAGTTCGCCTGCGAGTGCTCCATCGGCTTCCGGGGGGACGGACGCACCTGCCACGGTACAGCCTCGGCTCTGACGTGGGGGGCGTGGGGGAGGCCACGGGGAGGTGTCCGCAGCCTGTGGTCCAGATGGCACGGGAGGGGACGAGGCCCCGAGATGAGACTGGCATGCCCAGGCGTCCCCTGGCACCGTGAGGGGCACTGCCCCTTCCAGATGCTCTGACTCTAAGCAGCAGAGAAGAATCTGTGAGGCCACACCCCGCGCAGGTGCAAAGGGGAGCTGAAGCCAGCGCTGCGTGTAACCCTTGGAGCATGATGTCCCCCAGGCACGTTGGTGTGAACTACAGAGGCTCACCCTTTTTTTAGAAAATATTTTTTTATTGATTTCAGAGAGGAAGGGAGAGGGAGAGGGAGAAACATGAGTGATGAGAAGGAATCATGGATCGGCTGCCTCCTGCACGCCCCACCCTGGGGACCGAGCCTGCAACCTGGGCGTGTGCCCCGACCGGGAATTGAACCGTGACCTCCTGGTTCATAGGTCAGGGCTGGACCACGGAGCCACCGCCGGCCGGGCCAAAGTCGCTTTTTTGAAACACACAAAGTCCCCGTTCCTAAAGCTTCACGGGGAGAACGGAGCTTGGAAACGTTCCCGTGGCCATGCTGTTCTGTCGCTTGGATTGAAACTCGCCCTGTGCTAGTTGCTTTGGCAGCCGAGCGGGAGCCTTGGGGCCCTGCCGTCCGCACACGGCGTCCAGACATCTGGGCTGGAGCATCCTGGGAGCTGGGGGCAGGGGCAGTGGGAGCCGGAATGGTCTTTTAAAAAAATATTGATTTCTGAGAGAGAGAGGACGAGGGAGAGAGAGATAGAAACATCAACGATGAGAGAGAATCGTGGATCGGCTGCCTTCTGCATGTCCCCTACTGGGGATGTGCCCTTGACCGGAATCGAACCGTGACCTCCTGGTTCATGGGTCAACGACTGAGCGGCGCCGGCAGGGCTGCAGTATATGTTAAAAAACCTGAACACTCGCCCTAGCCAGTTTGGCTCAGTGGATAGAGCGTCGGCCTGCGGACTGAAAGGTCCCAGGTTCGATTCCGGTCAAGGGCATGTACCTTGGTTGCAGGCACATCTCCAGTTGGGGGTGTGCAGGAGGCAGCTGATCGATGTTTCTCTCTCATCGATGTTTCTAACTCTCTATCCCTCTCCCTTCCTCTCCGTAAAAAATCAATAAAAAATATATTTAAAAGAAAACAAAAAACAACACCCTTTGGGTTGGGGTTTTGCCTGGGTTTAGTCCCCCCGAGTCCCCCCGCAAGCAGCAGTGCTTTCTGCGTCATGTACGCAGTGACGTTCGAAGAGGTTAACACGAGGCTGCTTCGTGTTTCCTGAACTCACTGTAGACATCGACGAGTGCTCGGAGCAGCCCGCGGTGTGTGGGAGCCACGCCGTCTGCAACAACCACCCGGGGACCTTCCGCTGCGAGTGCGAGCAGGGCTACCGCTTTTCCGAGGAGGGAACGTGCGTGGGTGAGTACGGTGGTCGGAGATTTTCAGGATCCTGATGCGTGTGGGGTTCGTTGGTGCCTGTGGGAAGGTGTTGCTCCAGGTAACCATCCAGGCCGAGGGGGGAGGCGCTGAGTTCTGGAGTTGGGTGGTGGAGGGGACAGTTTACGAAGCTGAATCTGACTCTGTCCCTTTCCTCCAACTTCCTGGGGGGCCACATGTCCGAGGATCAACGCTCTTACTGTTCACCCCAGTAACACCATCGCCTGATCTGTTGGAAGCTTTGTATTGCTCTCTGTTCTTACAAAACGATGTTTCATTCTTTTATATTTTTTAAGATTTAAAAAAATATATATTTTTATTGATTTCAGAGAGGAAGCGAGAGAGAGAGAGGAAGCGAGAGAGAGAGAGAGAGAGACATTAGTGATGAGAGAGAATCATTGATCGGCTGCCTCCTGCATGTCCTCTACTGGGGATCGAGCCCACAACCTGGGCATGTGCCCTTGACTAGAATCAGACCCACAACCCTTGAGTCTGCAGGCTGATGCTCTATCCACTGAGCCAAACTGGCTAGGGCTCTTTTTTTTTTTTTTAACCTTGCAACATTTATTCAACTTATTAATTAATGAAGATACCAGTAGAACATGAAATTGTTTCAAAAAGACACTTTGACCCGGCCGGCGTGGCTCAGTGGTTGAGCGTCAGTCAACCTATGAACCAGGAGGTCACCGTTCAATTCCCGGTCAGGGCACCTGCCCGGGTTGTAGGCTGGATCCCCCGTGTGGGGCGGGCGGGGGGCAGCCGATGCATGATGCTCTCTCGTCATTGACGTTTCTCACTCTCTTTCCCTCTCCCTTCCCTCTCTGAAATCAATAAAAATATATAAAAAATAAAATAAAAACACCCAACCAAAAAGACACTCGGAGGAACTATTTATAGGCAACTTGAAAAGGGAAAAGGAGTGTCGGAGTAAGAAAGCCTGACGGCATTTGAGAAGGGTTATTGGAACATGTGTTTGTCATTAGTGGCCGTACCAGGCACCTCGTGTGCTTTTTCACAGAAAAGACGTAGGAAACACATTCAACCGAAAGTATTTGCCGAAGGACAGACACATCTGCCAGGTCAGGCAGCGAGACTCCTCGGACTGCGGCCCTCAGGGAAGACCATAGAGACAGAACGTCTGAAAAAAAACAAAACCAGGAACCGTGCCCGATGCGGATCATGAGAAGTTAGAGGTTGGGAGACATGTAGAAGTTCGGATCAGGGAGCCTGCAGGGCTGGGAAGCCAGAAAGCAAAGCTGGAGGCTGCAGTCAGTCCCACGCCCGTAGCCAAGATCTTCACGAGCCAGCAGGCCTCCAGGCCCTGACAGATGAGCTGGTCAGACGGACTAGATGCAGGACACAACCTAGGAAGAGGGAGAGCTTTGACCTTCAACTGTACTTGACACCCTTGGTCTACCTGCATTAAAATGAGGCCAGTGCCTCCAGAAACCAGAAACCAGTTCTTTTTTTAATATATTTTTATTGATTCCAGAGAGGAAGGGAGAGAGAGAAACATCCAAGGTGATAGAGAATCATCAATTGGCTGCCTCATGCACGCCCCACACTGGGGATGGCGCCCACAACCCGGGCATGTGCCCTGACCAGGAATCGAACCCTGACCTCCTGGTTTATACAGAGGTCGAGGCTCAACCAACTGAGCCACGCCGGCCGGGCATTCCTCTATCAATTCTTTTCCTTATTCTTTTAAAAGCTATGAAAACAATTAGACTTGTTTTCCCTTAAATCACTGGCTTTGGGATTCATGTGGAGGGACCACCTTGTAGGCACATGTGTCATTACCTGCTTTGGGTTGAATTCTTCCTGATTTAGGTCTACAGTTCTATTTGGGGCCATCTGCTTGGGGGTTTCAATTTTACAAGCCACAAGCAGGAACATAGCTTCTTGGCCTTATCCGAGTACATGAGTTCACGCTATGAATGAGGCTAATTGTTGCTTTAGGCTGCTGCTGCTGCTGATGGTGGTGGTGGTGAGCCATCCACAAAGGAACAGAATGAATTTTTCTACTTTCCCCCAACTGCTGCACTTTGAACTGTTGGCTCCAAGAATTTAAAGTTCAGAGATTCTTGGATAATTCCAGTCTGGAGGGCAGTGCGCTGAATGGGCCGTATGAGCTCAGCATTTCTGCCCAGTTGAAAACAGACTTCTCTTTTACTGCCTCCCCGACCCATGTCCGTGCCCTTTGCTGTGTACTGAGCCCTAGCCTGCTTTCTGTTTGCTTTGTCTTGTTTTAAAAAATAGATATTTTTATTGATTTCAGAGAGGAAGGGAGAGGGAGGTAGAGAGAGAAACATCAATGATGAGAGAGAATCATGGATCGGCTCCCTCCTTACGCCCCCTACTGGGGATGGAGCCTACAACCTAGGCGTGTGCCCTGATGGGGAATCGAACCGTGACCTCCTGGTTCACAGGTCACTGCTCAACCACTGAGCCACGCTCGCCAGACTGTTTGATCCGTCTCGAAGCTGAGATGAGGCTGCCAAGGTCTCAGGGGGAGGTGGAGGCCGAGGGCTGGAGGGAACAGGCAGTTCTCATAGTTTGAGGATGACCCAACATCTGTGCATGGAAAGAGGCCAGTCCCCTTTGCACAGAGTGGAGAGTTCAGCTCTGCTAAAGTTACTTTTTTTTTTTTAATAGAGAACAACAATTCCTGTGTATTTGGCCTGATTTCCCTCTCTGCTTTTTGAGATGGAGATTCAAAGATTACAGTCTAGCCCTGGCTGGTTTGGCTCAGTGGATAGAGCGTCGGCCTGCAGACCAAAGGGTCCCGGGTTTGATTCCAGTCAAGGGCATGTACTTAGGTTGCAGGCTCCTCCCCGGCCCGGGCCCTGGTCGGGGCACGTGCAGGAGGCAACCCATCGATGTGTTTCTCTCCCATCGGTGTTTCTCTCTGTCTTTCCCTCTCTCTCCCACTCTCCCTAAAAATCAATGGGAAATATCCTTGGGTGAGGATTAACAACAACAACAGAAAAGATTGCGGTCTAATTATAATTAATTTTTAATTCCCAGTCGGAGTTCAATTTTCTCTCCTTTTGAAATCTTTTCCCTCCATCCCACCTTGCAGCGTCCCGTTGGGTGAACGGCCGGAAATTGCCGTTCTGGGAGGTCAGGAGCTTGAGGAAGCACAGCTGGGCACATGGGTGTCCCCTGTGGCCGTGTCCCCTCCCTCTGTGGCTGGTAGACACCCAAGGCTGCCTCCTCCAAAAGCCCACCATCTGTCTCGCACCCCTGCTCCCTTCCCTGGATGCTCATGTCCCTTCCCCTGGTGGGAAACGGGTGACCTTAACCTCAGCCTTCACAGTGACTGTCCACCTGCCCAGTGAGCCACAGGGGGAGACACAGGGCGGACAGAGTCTCAGACCCTCAGCTCCAAACATTCTACCCGCAGGGCTGCCCTGGGAAGTGTGGGCCCCTGCGATGTGCCACCTCCACATCCCGGTGAAAGGGACGGGGATGTGGAGAGGGGCCCGGGACGGAGCCCTGGGGTGAAACTCAGGTCGAAAGCCAGGCTGAGTCCGGCCGGCGTGGCCCAGTGGTTGAGCTTCAACCTATGAACCAGGAGGTCACGGTATTCCCGGTCAGGGCACATGCCAGGGTTGCGGGCTCCATCCCCAGTGTGGGGTGTGCAGGAGGCAGCCGATCCATGAATCTCTCTCATCATTGATGCTTCTCTCTTGCTCTCCCTCTCCCTCCCTCTCTGACATCAATAACAATATATTTGGAAAAAAGAAAGAGAAAAAGAAAGCCAGGCAGAGTGGGCCAACCCAGGTGTCATCCTGGGAGGCCCGATCGAAGGCCGAGTCCAGGTGGGAGGGGAGAGGAGAGACGGGGCACCAGCCGAGTGGGGAGAAGGGGGTGAAGCCCTTGAGATGCCTGGAGGTCTGGGGTCCGAGGGGACTAAACCACTGGCGTCGGGGGGTATCGGGGAAGGGCACGGGGACTCCTCAGGGGCCTCCCTTCCGAACGTCGTGTCCACCTTGCGTTCGAAGCTGCTGTGGACGAGCGGCCCATCAACCACTGCGCGACGGGCCTGCACGACTGTGACATCCCCCAGCGGGCCCAGTGCGTGTACACGGGCGGCTCCTCCTACACCTGCTCCTGTTTGCCAGGCTTCTCCGGGGACGGCCGGGCCTGCCAAGGTGCGTGCGTGCGTGGTGACGCCGATGTTTCTCTCTGTATAACCCGGAAAAACGCCCCACGTGGTAGTGATCTTATGCGAATGGCCGGCTTACCTCGAGTTTAGTTAAGAGTTATTCTTTCAGCTCCGTTGGTAATGTGGGCCCCATGTTACATTTTTATGTAGGCATTTGAACTACTGGTTCTGTATTTTATTTATTTTTTGTTAAATATATTTTTATTGATTTTTAGAGAGGAAGGGAGAGGGAGAGAGAGAAAGAGAAACATCAGTGATGAGAGAGAATCATGGATCGGCTGCCTCCTGCATGCCCCACAGTGGGGATCGAGCCCAGACCTGAGGCATGTGCCCTGACTGGGAATCGAACCGTGACCTCCTGGTTCATAGGTCGATGCTCAACCACTGAGCCACACTGGCCGGGCTATGCATTTTCTTTTGGGGGCTGTTCCCCTTGGGGAAAACACTGTCCTCCCCCTGAGATTTTGTTCTGTCTGACTTGCTTCTTCAGGCAACAATTAGACACCTGCTGTCTGCTAGGAACGGGGCGGGTGGGGGTGTGGGGGGCGTGGATTGTCTGTTTTTTAGGAAAAGAAAAACCACTTTTGAATTTATGGAGCTTAAAGTCCAGCCATTTATTGTTTTTTAATTATTATTTTTAAACAGTATTTTATATATAAATTTTTATTGATTTCAGAGAGGAAGGGAGAGGGAGAGAGATAGAAACATCAATGATGAGAACGAATCATTGATTGGCTGCCTCCTGCACGCCCCCTACTGGGGATCGTGCCCTTGACCGGAATCGGACCAGGGACCCTTCAGTCCGCAGGTCGACGCTCTATCCACAGAGCCAAACCGGCCAGGGCAAGATGACTTCACTTTACACCACAAAGTATTTCTGCAAAGTCCAAGCTTTTCCCAGATAGATTATAATCTCAGAGCAACTGTCTCTTCATTACTCACCCGTAGGCATTTTTGAAGCTCTCATTTATGATGAAAAGAAGCATTTTATTTTATTTTTTATTATTTTTTTAAAAAATCCTCATCCAGGAATATTTTTCCATTGATTTTTAGAGAGAGTGGGAGAGAGGAGGAAAGACAGAGAGAAATATCGATGTGTTTACACAACAATTGGTTGCCTCCTGCATGCGCCCAGGCCAGGGACCAGACCGGGGAGGAGCCTGCAATGGAGGTAGGTGCCCTTGACCAAAATCAAACCTGGGCCACTTCAGTCCACAGGCCGACACTCTATCCACTGAGCCAAACCAGCTAGGACTGGCAAGCTTCATTTTAAAAGTAAAGTAATACTTTGCTTTAATCTGAAATGTATACAGGACCAAATATGTGCCTTTGAAAAATATTGATTTAGAATATATTAAATTAGGTCTGAATAGGAAAAGGCAATTATTCTCAAATAATAAGCACTATATTGAAGAATTAGTGTTGAGTGATTGTTTGGCTCATTAATGGCTCAGCGGCCCCAGAGCAGACACAGGGCCCCACAGAGCTGAGCAAGGGGCTTAAGTGATTGTGTAAACCATGGATTCCGGAGGAATCTCTGTCCTGGGGCTGTTTTGCAGACGTGGATGAATGCCACCCGAGCCGATGCCACCCCGATGCCTTCTGCTACAACACCCCGGGCTCCTTCTCCTGCCAGTGCAAGCCTGGGTACCGGGGCGACGGCTTCCGCTGCGTGCCTGGAGGTGAGGAGTCGGGACACCGGGAGCCGGTAGGCCCGTGCCCTGCCCCCGAGTCCTGAGCACGGGGCCCCGGGAGGGGAGGTGCCGTGGGAATGTGTGAGTTCCGTGCGAGTCCTGAGGGTCATTGAGGCAGATCAGAGCGTGGCCGCCGTGAACAGGCGTGCAGGCTGCGTACTGCTCTACCACGGGGGGCACCGAAGGTGGACCAGGACTCCTGGCAGCCTGGAGTCTGGTTGTCCTGGTAACCGGAGCGAGCAGAGCAGGGCAGGGAGAGTGGGCCTGTAGCAGTCAGGGTTCGCAGAGACACAGAAACAGTGGTGTGTGTGTGTGTGTGTGTGCAAATATGTACATTCACAGTAAAGAGCTGCAGTGTAAGAAATCGGTTCACACCATTGGATGAAGGTTTACATTTTGACATACTGTGGGGCCTTGACTTACGAGTTTAATTTCGTTCCGAGCCCAGCTCGTTAAGGAGCTCGTCAACTCAAATTACTCTGTCAACTCAATGCAAAGAATCGGCCGAGAGACAGCTGGTATCTCAAAAAACTCACTGTATAACACTACATGTCGCTGGTCTGCATTGTTTTCCGCTGAGGACCGGGGTCAGCGAATCCCACCCACCTCCTGTTTCTGTAAACAGAGTTTCACTGGGACCCAGCTGTGCTGGTCAGGTTATGTACGGGCTGTGGCACCCTCACCCACGTGTGTGTCAAAGGAGAGGTCAGTTTGCGGCAGAATCTGTAAATGCCTGCAAAGCCTAAGGTGTTTGCCACCTGGTCGGAGGTTTGCCGACCCCTGGCCTAGAGGAACCCCAGGCAGGGCACCCTTTTGTGCCTGAAGCGATGGGTGAAAGTTGGAGTGTTACCCATAGACTTACACACAGAGAGGAGTGGTGACATTCCAGCAGCTGTTAAAAATGACTAACAGGAAAAAACGGAG